CGCACTTTTAGGTGGATAAGGTTTCGATTTTCTAGATTACTGAATTTCACCACGGCATATTAGGAATGGTCGGCTAGACCTTTCTGTGGTGGCAGGCCCGAAGATGGCAACCTACTCTGTGGCTATGGCATGCGCAGTCAGAGTAGGAGCAGCTTTGCCTTTCTGAAAATGCAGACCGCGACATGAACTACTTCGGGTATCTTACAAATTTGACATACGGTGGCAATTTACTGAAAGTTCTTGGTCCGGCATGAAGGACGCTCATTGTAAGAACTGCCATTTCTATCTGGTCAAAAGGTTCGGCACCTTATGGAACTAGGAATTGGACTGCGACGTGTCCTGTCATTTTTCGTCTAGCAAAAGGTAGGACGGTGCTGCACCGTTCACACCGGTAATGGAATTGCGGCACCATGAATTTGTTTTCGCGAGGAAAAGCCGCGTGTTCGACCATGAATACGTTTTCCAACGTGTCACACTCTAGCAGTTTACTACGCTGTCCAGAGCGGTTCTTTTTTTTTAAGTACTGTACAGTCCAAAGCGGTTCTCTTTTTTTAAGTAAAGAAGTCCAAAGCAGTTCTGTAGGCACCAATAGCATCTGAAATCATACCACAGTCCACAGGGCATGATGGTTTCTAGAGTATGAGTGAAAATTTAATGGTTAATGAGGAAAATAAGATTCACACATGTATAATCGTCCAAAACCTCATCAAGGCTTAATGACACCCAAAAAATGCTGAGTTCAGGCAAGAAAAGGTCGAGATCCAGATTGGATATCTGAAGAGAAGAGAAAACACTGCTCCATTGGTTGCTTCAACAAGTTCAACAAGGAATAAATAAAATTTCTGCGCGCGCAGAGACACACATGTGGAAACTGCACAAAAATCGATGGTAGTATTGCAAAAGTATCTGTTATTAGTATTGTGTACTGAAAAACAAGCAGCAAGCCACTCACGCTAGCTGGGCAAGCCAAGATGCACTGTACTTCAACAATCTTCTAAAATGACCAAAAAATTCCAGATCAGAACATAAGGAAGCGTAGGAGCAATAGAAGATGAAGAGGGTGAGGCGGGCCGCATTGTATTATTATCAAGAAAGCTAGCTCTACAAAGTCGAGTGCAGATTAGATGAGGATAATTAATTCATAAGGTTTTGCCCACGCACACATGAGTCTAATAAAAAAAATCCATACATCCAGAAGCAACTGGATCACGGAAACGACAGAAGCGGTCGCCAAAGAGATAAACAAAAAGAAACCAAAGCTGCAGTTAAGAGGGAAAGCTCGGCAACCACCATAGGATGATGGGGAAGGGAGGTCGTGACCGTCCTAGTGGTAGTGGGCAGCGGAGTTCCTCGAGGTGAGCTCGGCGGCCGACGCATGCGCAGCGGCACGAACCTCGACGAACACCGGTTACACCGCAAATAGGGCCGAAGCAGCCACCTGAGT